CACACACACACACACACACACACACACACACACACACACACACACCTCAAAAGGTTAAGAATCCCAAGACTAGAATTCAAGTCCCTTCCAGCTCAGAATCCCATTAATGTAGAATCCCATGGGGAACTATTACCCTGAGCTAGCTCTTTTGCAGTTTTTTGTGCTAGATATATGTGGGCAGATAGAAAAATGTTTAAAAGTTGATCCTACAGAAAGTATGCTTTTCTCCTGTATTAAGAATTGTGACAGAAAAAAATGCTATCTCAGATCAAACATTATCTTAAAGGATTCAGATTATGCAGTGTTGAATGAGGAATATTACACAGTATTAGCATTTGGGCAAAAATTACTTTTCTTTAATGTTGCTTTACTTTTAAAAGAAAGCAGAGGGATATTATTACTTTGAAGATATTGAAGACATCGAGGCTCCAAATTATAGTTTCAAATATTGTGAGCATAACAAATGAGAAAAGAAAAAGACAACTGGACTTGTTAAATTCCATTATTGAAGTAACAAAGGTGGTTTGGAAGACTGGAATTTACTTCCACCACATGCCCCAATTTGTCAAAACAGCAAATAAAGAACCTCAGCACCTGGATATTTTTAGGACTGATAGTGCTATTAGAAATAATGTAGTCTGACCTCCCGGTTTTGTTGAGGACAAAAGTGAGGTACACCGAAATTGTTGGTATCACACAGTGACTTGAATTCACCATCTGTAGAACTTCCAAAAATCTGTCTTTGAATCCTCTATGTTTAACCCAAAAGGAAAGCCTCCCATATTCTTAATCCATTAAACAGGCTTCACAGATTAAACCAATGTGATGATTCAATTTAATTCAATAAACATAGTATAAGCAAGGAGCATGTATGGGGTGCTGGAGACACAGACAAGAAGAAAGTAGGCCTTGCTCTCAAAGAACTTAAACATCTATGTAGTGGGGAAATTGAAGTATATACAGATAAGAAAAGTAGAAGGTGATTTGAGGCAGGAAGGAGCATTAATACTGAAAGTTTCACCAGGAGGGTGGTACCTGAGTGATCTTGGAAGGCAGCTAAGTGGCACAGTGAATTGAGCACTAGGCCTACAGTCAAGACCAGAGTTGAAATCCCACCTTAGGTCTGCAGCTGTGTAGCCCCAGGCAAGTTGCTTAACCTCTGATTATTTCCTCTTCTGTAAATTGAAGTGCTAGTGGTAGCATCTACTTTGCTTTGAGGATCAAATGAGATAATGTTTGTAAAGTACTTAGCACAGTACTTGGTACATATATGTTAGTAGTAGTATTATAAGGATTTCTAGACAATGCATTCCTGTCATGGTGCAAGCAGAAGATGAAACTCCAAATTGAGTCTGGTTTGGCTGGAAGAAAGAGGGAAGTAATAAGTCTAGAATGGTGAGTTGGAGCCAGATTGTGGGGCACACTAAACGTAATGCTGCAGTGTTTTTACTTTTATCCAAGAATGAAGAGGGAGCCACTGTAAGTTTTTTAACAGAGTTGTGACATGATAGAACTAAGCCTTAGTAAGATGATTTTATAGGGTATTCCTTGGAAGCAGAGAGACATTAGGAGGATATTATAAAGAGTGCAGGCAAGAAGAGGTGATTGGAGTGAGTGGAAAGAAAGGAACAGATACCAAAAATGTAGCAACTGATAGATTGGAAATGAGTGTTTTGTGAAAAGCAAAGGTTTCTTATCTACATAGAACTGAAAGTTTTTTAATAAGGGGCAAAGCCTTTTTTCAATAGTGAAATACCTGAAGAAGGAGCATAGTACAGCAGAACAAATGCCAGCTCTGAAGTCAGAAGACCTGGGCTTAAATCTTAATTCTGACATTTAATACTTAAAAGCATGTCACTTAATTTTCCTGGGCCTCAGTTTCCTCATCTGTAAAATGAGGACATTGAACAAGATGGCCTTTGAAGTCCTTTACAACTTGAGACCTCATATCTGACATGGAGGACAGTTCAGTTATTAAAACAAACTATAACATTTTTTTGTTCAGATCTGTGATCAAATGGATTCTGTAATTCCTTCCAACAATGCGGATCACAAACCATCCAGGGCTGCTGATTCTGTGCAGCTCTCATCCACATCTTTCCAAAAGTTCACTGCAGAGAGAATCCAATGTGCTGGAGGCCATCTTTGCCTTCTTCCAACTTAAAGATCCAGCAGGCACTGTGGCTTATGTCTGCCTATCACCCCTAGTTCTTAGCACATGATCAGTCCATCTTGTTCCTGTCTTAAAATACATTCCCTTGATGACATTCTTTACTCCTTTTCTTTTTTGGAATTATTATTATAAATTGTAGCCTGCTCACCATGTGCCTTTCCTTTGCCCTCTTTCAGTGACGCTTATCTTAATTCTTTAGAGAGTGTTCTTTATCACTGCCATTCAACATTAGTAAAAAACAAAATTGTACTAAATTGTTGGGCATTTACATATGATTTCACTGTACTGAAATTTTGGTGTGGAAACTCTTTTAGGCAACTAATTTTTAGGTAATTTTATATACTCTTAAAAAGTTTCATGGGGACACTGAAGGTTAAGTGATGTTAAGAGATGCTCGGGGTCATGTTGTTCAGTAGTATCCTACTATATGACTCCATATGAGGTTTTCTTTGGGCAAGGTACTGGAATGATTTGCTGTTCTCTTCTCCAGTGGATTAGAGGTTAAGTGACTTGCCTAGGGTCATGTAGCCAGTAAGTGTCTGAGGCCATATTTGAACTGGGGTTTCCCTGACTCTAGGCCAAGTGATCTATCCACTTAGCCATCTAGCTGCCTAGTTCAGGGTCATACAATCAGAATTTTTCATCAGCTTTTCATGCTACCTTCTACGTGTTCTTTATGAACATTGTAACATTTATGTCAGAGTAAAATGTCATAAATTATTGGAGCCTAAACTAGCAAAAATCTGAATGATTTTTGGTAAACTGCTTTTAAAAAGTTCTTAAAATCATAGTGATTTTTTTTTAAAAAAACAGCCCCTGTGTTGACACTGATTACAAGTTTAACACGAATTAGGCTGTATTCTATTTTATGAATATTTTTTAACAATGCAATTGAAGCACTTCTAGGGCTGCATCCCAAAGAGATCATACAAATGGGAAAAGGACCCACATGTACAAAAATATTTATAGCATCTCTTTTTGTGGTAGCAAATAATTGGGAATTGAAGGGATGCCCAGTAATTGGGGAATGGCTGAACAAGTTGTGGTATATGAATGTAATGGAATACTATTGTGCTATAAGGAAATGATGAGCAGGCAGACTTAAGAAAAACCTGTAAAGACTTGTATGGTCTGATGCTGACTGAAGTGAGCAGAACAAGGAAAACGTTGTACACAGTAACAGCCACGTTGTGCAATGACTAAAATTATTGATAGACTTAACGCTTCTCAGCAGCACAAGGATCTACGACATCTCCAAAGGTCTCGTGATGGAAAATGCTATCCACATCCAAAGAAAAAATTATGGAGTTTGAATGCAGATCGAAGCATACCATTTGCTATTTTTTTTTATTTCTGTTGTGTTTTGTTTCCTCTTTCTGGTGGTTCCTCCTATTGGTTCTAATTCTTATTTGCAACATCACTAATATGAATATATGCTTAATCGGAATGTATATGTATAGTCTGTATCAGATTTGTACAACATCTGGGGGGAGAGGAAAATTTAAAACTCAAAAGCTTATGGAAGTGATTGTTGATAAATCAAAATAAATTAATAAAAAAAGAAAATAAATAAAATAAAATGCATTTGAGAGGCAAAGTGGATAGAGGGGCTGGCCTTGGAGACAGAAAAACCTGGGTTCAAGTCTCTCACCTCACATTCTGTGATCACACACTGTTTAACCATCCACTGCCCCAGGCAACTCTAGGACTATAATTTAACTAAATCCTGGGAAAGCAAGTCTCCACAAAGGATTTGTTCTGTATACTGATGAAACTGAAGGTCTAGACCAATATCTATATACACACAGACCAATATATATATATACATATATATATACACACACACACATACATATACATAAACACAGACATGGAGATATACATTCAATTAGCAAGAATTATATTTCTAGCCTGAAATGTTTCTAACACTAAAGAGAATTTTTAAGTTAAAACAAGAGGGCAATGTCCTTAACCTTTTTTCTTTGGTATGGACCCCTTTTCAGAACATTTTTAAATGCATAAAACAGAAGATTATAAAAGAAATCAATTATATTGAAATGCAATTATTAAAAAAATGGGTTTTTTTTAAAGTTCATGGATTTCAAGAACTCCCCGCTCTAAAGCTATTTCTGTGCTTTCAGAGTAGGAAAAGGTTTTTGTTTTTGTTTTTTAAAGAAAGCCAGTCACAGTGGAGAATGGTTACATTGTAGGGACTGTTTCATTCTTTTATAGTTGTATTCCCAGGCAGTTGTACACAGTAGCAAATGCTTAATAAATGCATGTTGATTGAATTTAAAGTTTACAAGACTCAGGGATGGGAAGGGACATGAGATTCTTAAATATCTAACCCCCATATTTACAGATTTGGAAGCAGACATAAGAAAAAAAGCAGTAAAACCAAAGTCTTCCAAACAAGTTTTGAACTAAAAGTATTAGAATAAAACTCATTAGGGTTATACATATTAATATATGGGAGAGAGGATTTGATAACTTGATCTGAATTGAAAAAGTCAGTGTGGGTCAAATTTTAACATTTTCAGATAGCTTCTCAAAAGATGTTTTTTTCCTAAGGCTTACTACCTATACAACTTTGGAAGAAAATTGTTTTCTCTTTTGGCCTCAAGTTTCCTCATTTGTAAAATGAAGAAATTGTAATAGATAAGCCCTATAGATATAAACAGATATAGAGATGTTTCCATCTCTGAATCCTACTATGCCTCTGAATCTGTTATTTACCAATAAATACAAAGTTAAATTAAGAAATGAAAATCCAGGTGCTTTCTGTTTAATTTTCCATAATTTAGCATAAGATCTTCCTTTGCTGAGAGCTGCTGTGAATTTAATATTTTATTGATTAGTTTAAAATATGTATTGATAAAATATCCATTTTCCAGGTATGTGCATTTATACATATGAAGACAGTGAATATTTTCAGTGACAAATGAAAATGGCTAACCCATTAAGAGGAGAAGTTTTGACTCTTTATAAGAATGTAAGTATCTATTACTAGTTCCAATAATCTTAATGTTACATGGTGCAAATTATTTAGGAATATAAAACATGTTTGTTTTTAAGCTGCTGTATGTCGGAAGAGAATATCCAAAGGGAGCAGACTACTTTAAAAGACGTTTGAAGGCAGCTTTCCTTAAAAACAAAGATGTGAAGGACCCAGAGAAGATCAGAGAACTTATTGCACGAGGAGAATTTGTAATAAAAGAGCTAGAAGCCTTGTACTTCCTTAGAAAATACAGAGCTATGAAGCAACGCTACCACTTAGAAGATGACAAAACTAAGTGAATTTTTATTGTTGCAAATGTAGGTTTACTGCTTAGACTGTCTGAGCAATAATTGGTGGCACTTCTTTATATGTAAATCAAATATTGCAGAATAACTAATACACAAGATGTACAAAAAAATGCCCAGAATACCTGAACTCCCTTCAACTTTAAAAATTATTTTAATAGGTTTCAATATAAACTAATATTGAAAGCTTACTCAGCCAAGACTTGGGTCCTTTTTTTTTAATTATAGCATCTGCCAAGACTCTGATTTAGCAAAAACTTCATTGCTTAATTTACTGAATAGGAACTTTAAATTCCCATCAATTAACATTGAAAATTTTTAATGAAAATGTTCACTAGGCCTTAAAAATAAATACTTACAAATGGAGTAGTTTTAGATGATGTCTTAGTCCATTTTTGTTTTGTATTTACTGATTCTGTCACAAAGAAAAAAGATGGTATTTTGCATTGCAAATAAATTTACCAAAGGTATTAAGATTCAGCCAACTCAACATTTCATTTGTTTTACAATTTTTAAAGGAGTGGGCAGTTTTTAAAAAATTTTTTTGCCAAAATTTGGTACATTTCAACAAGGTACTATGGTTCATTTGAAAGAAAACTGAATAGCACCCAGAATTCAAATGGATATTTTCTGTAGCTGCACTGCATAAATTTATAGTTCAGAAAACCATTTGCAACAGCTTATAGATACCCATCAATGTATGGGGAGTTAGGTGGTACAGTGAGTGCTGGGCCTGCAGTCAGAAAGACCCGAGTTCAAATATGACCTCAGACATTTACTAGCTGTGTGACCCTGGGCAAGTCACTTAATCCTGTTTGCTTTGGTTTCCTCATCTGTAAAATCTGTAGAGAAGGAAATGGCAAACCACTCCAGTATCTTTGCCAAGAAAACTTCACATGAGGTCATGAAGAGTCAGAAACTACTGAACAACAATATCCATCAAACTGGCTAATACATGCTGAGGTGAAATTCTCATATTTGGTAGCCTAACTCTGAAATAACTTGCATGTCTCTACACTTTTTGAGATATTTGTTTTTGAGATATTTGGAAGATAGCTTTCAACTAATAATTAGAGCAATTAGGTGATAAACTGATTTTATTTTTTTGGCATTTGAACTGACCGGTAAGAGAACCACAGCCTAAAAATTTCATAGCTTTATCATTGTTACTGGATTCTTTTTGATTCAAGTAAGTTGTTATAATCATCTTTGACTTGAGATAAAATGCTATACTACTTTCCTTAAGAAAAATAGATGGAGTTTTCGTCTTTTGCTAAAAAATAAAATAACAATGAACTTTTAATAAATCCTAAAGTTATACAGTGGATACAATAGTGTATGATTAATATAAGTGATTTAAGGCACACATGGAAGCAGTTTCTTTTGTGACTAATGGATGTCTATGATGAAATTATTTAATCCAATTTCCTTTAGAGGAAATCCTCTAAAAACATGAGTGTATTAATGTATACCTTGACAGCTGCAGAGCAAATATTAGAATACGAATTTAAATTTTTGAAATCAATTCCCAGGAAACAGAGTAGTAGAGTCACAATAACTTTATTACATTACAATAATTAGGAGCAGTACAGTTTATGACAAAAATATGACAATTTCAGATCACTTCACAGCACATACTCCTGTGAACATTTAAAAGTTAATTTTAGTTAAAACAGTGGTCATTTTAAATTTTTATATCTGATACAACCAATATTCCTAGGTCAGCACAACCAAATGATGAAGAAAAACTGGATCACACTGCATATGCCCCCCCCCCCACACAAAAAAGCACAATGTACAAAATGTGCATGTTTCAGTTTACACTATACAAAAATAGTTAAAATACATTCCAGGTAAACAGGTTACATTAAGAAATAGTTTCTATTAAGAAGTTGGCACTCAAAAAAAGGAAAAAAGCAAAACGATTTTCAACATGGTAATAAAAGACAGTGGAATTAGGAACTTTTAGACCATGTAGCCCATGTAGTATTATGTAGCAAACTTTACCCAAAAAGTCTGACGTTTCTCCAGCCAGCCACCTCTATTTCTCTAAGAACATCTGTATGTTCACTATCATTCCAGGTAGGCACTTAGAGCTGTTAGACTGACACACAGATCTCAAGCTATGTAATTAACACAAAACTCAGGAACTAATTTGAGTATGTTACTTGGAGAAACAGTAATTATTTCTCCTACTGTACTTAACTAGTCACAGTACAGTTTCATGCTATTTGATTTTCTCTACATGAAATTCCTAACAGCCAAGATTATAACTTAATAGTTAATTAAAAACTAGAATTTCAACTTAATCATTAATTGCTGGTTGCTTTTTTAGGTGATTATCAAGATTATATAAAGCTACCACAAGGTATTATTTCTTTCTGACAAGTAGAATTGATAAATGAATTATCATATAGTAAATGATTAAGATGCAGATTTTTTTTGCCATCAAAACAAAATCTGAGATGGTCTCAGAAAACATCAAAAGAAATCCACTGGAATACAAATAAGGTCAAGGTGTGCAAACTGCAACTCAACATGCCCCAGTTTCTACAAATGTTTAAAAAAAAACTGCACAAAAGTGGCAAAGATTTTGATACTCTACAAAAGTTAGGTTCTAAATTCTTATGCAGTGTGACTCAGTTCAAACAGAACCTAGACCTCCTAATTTTCATATGACTCAAAAGCGTACTATCCACATCTGCTACATTCTTCCACAAACATGTTATAGGGAGTCTAAGACTAGGTCAATTTTCTCAACTTCAGTATTGGATGTTGAATGTTAAGGCTATTATAATTAGATAAATGCTTATCTTCTAGGATTCCTCCCTTCCCACCCCACCCCACCCCACCCTTTAATGCTACAAAACCTTTTTCTCTTCCTCAAACCACTCACAATTCCGGTAATGAAGAATAACTTATCAGTCCTATAGGTTTGTTTTTTTTTTAATTGCCCTGCTTCATCAAAAATTCAAGAACCCTACAGAAAATACATTTGAATCCCTTTATGCATCACAATTCTTTAAGTATGGCCATTTCTTTCCCTTGGTACTGCATATATCTTGATAGCCACTAGACAATGCTCCATGATCCTAAATTTAGTAAGTAACATTTAAGAAAAGTTACACTTAATTTTATCCAGAATGGAAACTACATTCAATCTCTACGAGACACATCTTAGTTAGTAGTTAATTTTTGACAGTTAAACTAAAGCTAATGTATTCCACACGATTCAGATCAAAAGGAAAACTGAGTGAATTATTTATAAAAAATTATGTCCAAAGAAAAATCTAAAGCCACTCTGAGAAAAAGCATTAAGAAATTAGGATTATGACCTATGTATGCAATTCATATTTTTCTTTTTCCATCATTAAAGAGTAGTGTCTGAATATAACCTAAAATATGTCGATCTAGTGAACATAGTGGTATCAAACTCAAACAGAAATAGATCCCTGTGGGTGCTGTTAAATTAAAAAAAAAACCCTCAAATTAACATTATCCATGTTGCATTTTTATATTTCCTAATTATATTTTAATCCAGTTATAGCCCCACTTGGGAGCAAGCAGCCCAAAGGCTGCAAGTTTGACACCTCTGCTCTAACATATACTACATCTGCCTTAAAAGTAAAGGCCACTGACAGTCTGTCTGAATGAATCAATTTAAAATAGGAAAATAAAAAGGCCTTTACTATTTTCCACTGCCTCAAACATCATTTTTTATTTTTATTTCCTTTTTTATAGAAAAAATATATTTTTAAAGAAGTGACTATGACAAATCGTAGCAGTGGAAATTTTTTAAAAATTCTAAATGACATACTTTACATTCATTAAAGGCGATCTGAAACTATAGGACTTGATGTCTGTAAGCTGAATCAATTAATAAAGCCAATCAATTAAGTTTCAATTGAAGTTAAAATACCTAAGAACTAATCCATTATCAAGATAAAATAAAACACAGTATAGGGATCACTTAAAAACTGTGTAACATTGTACTTCATTGATTTGTTAAAACACCTAAGTTCATAACTGGCAAGAAAAAAATAGAAAGTTATAGCAAGTGTGCATGCACCAAAAATCCCAAGAGGGAAAAATCTCAGATATTAAATTTTTTTTTTTCACAGGCATTGCTAGTTCAAGAACCAACACTAAGGGAATACTGGCACTTAGAGGAATAAAGTTTCCACTGTCATTTTAAAATAAGCATTCAGATAAAAGCTAAGAGTTTGCATGAAGCAGAAAGAAAACTAGGTAATGCTAAAAAGCAAATGCTAATAATTTAGTATAATGTACAAAAAATTATCTTAAGTATGCTTTGAGGAAAAAGTACAAATTTTATTTACATAATTATACACTTTGTCTTTGACTTCTTTTTCTTCTTTTTACCGTCTTTGCTCATCTTTTCTTTATGTTTTCGAATTTCACGAACTAATGTGTAAAAGGCATCATCAACACCCTGAAATACATAAAAGGTATAAAATCAATTTAGCAAGGCTGTTATTTGTTACCATTTAATCTTATCTGCTGAATAGATAGGGAAAGGAACATTTTACTGATGGAAACATTAAGATTGAAGCTGTGTAAAGAACTTTTATGTTTGTGTATGGAAAAATATACATAAGCACTTTAAGATTTTGAAATATTATTTTTTCATACTTTTAGGGTTATTTCCCTTTTTCATAATTTCAGATGAGAGCACTTATACTTGTATGTATGTACGCCTGGTTAAAACATCAAAAGGAACAAAAAGATAAGCGAAATTATTAATAGTGTTGATATATTGAGGTGATCTTTGCACTTAAGGTATAATAGTTTGTTTGAAAAAGGTTACTTTTTTCAGAAACATCATCACTGCCTACCACGAATATAGTATGCTTGAATTTTTACAAAAGGATAATTGTAATCAAGATCTAAGTTTTTAAGTGACAAATAACTAAAACAAGAACCTTGATAACAAGAAGAATCATCACTATAATTGACCTCATTTGTAAATATTAAGAGTCTAAATGTATTTATGTGTTAAATCTCAATCATCCCTGAATTTTAGACCTCATGCAAATGTTCTTTAACATACTTTCATCCAAAATCAATTTAATAGATAAAACAAATGCAAAGCATTTGCTAAGTAAAATAATACATATATTTTCAGTAAAATTTTTATGTACTTTAAAAATCAGTTAAAATAACCTTAGGAAGAGAATCATAGTGCTCTTAGTTTATATATACTAGAAAGCAACTATATTTTTAAATGACATGTAACACATCAGGTTCCTCAAATATGCACATCCTACAGAGTGCTCTACTTGATAACAGAGGGTGGTAAAAGAAAAGAAAATCAGTTAAAATGGAATTCAATATGTAACATTTTATAACCTAATGAATTATTTAACTGAATAGCAAAACAGCATACTATAAGAATGCTGAAAACAACAATCTAAAACATGGAACACAGCTCGCTGATACCACCCCCTCTCCCCCCAAAAATTACCAACAGTTTCTTATAATCAATTAACATTTATACCTGTTCACTTTGCTACTATTAAAAATTAAATTAGTATAAAATGGAATGTAAATTATTAATTAGATAAACTTGAAAATGTTATAAAACACAAACATAAATACTTCAAAGCCAGACACTAGAGGGAGCCGTAGGAATAAAAATCTAACATTAAATCTAAGTCAAGCCATTATAAGAATGAAATCATCTTAGTGTTTATTAAATGTTTTGGCAAATTTATAAATTACTTGACTTTATTTAATGAAAGTTTTAATTTCTACCATTTTTTACTACCTTCTGTTATATAAAAGGTCACAGAACATATTCCAAGATGTTGAGTTTGACATTTAATACAGTGTATTACTGAGATTCTTTCAGCTATGTTAACAGTAATAGTAAGAATAATTATTTCAGTCAGTGTCTGTTCTTTCAGGTTACATTAACCTTAACAATATACTTGGGTAGAGGCAAGTAGGTATCATTATTACATGGCAGGAAACAGTGATTGATAAGTGGCTTGCCCAAGGTAATTCAGTTAGTGGCAGACAAGTAGTCTACCTTTCTATATTCAGCAATGATGACAATATGTTCAAAAGCAATAAGAACCTACAAGTTCCACTGAAGGTTTCTGGTAGCTTTAAAACTTTCACTTTGGGCTATAACATTACTAACAAACAGTAAAGAAAAAGTATGCAATTAAGCTTTAGAAAATATTCAATAGGTATCCAAGGCAACTTAGTACTCAACTAATTTCAACAGATCAAGTTGTACCAGGTCAAATAAAGGAGCAATGTAAAGAAAAATAGAAATATAAAAAGGGAAAAAATGCTTCCAAAATTCAACACTGACATTTAAAATATAATAGCACTAAAACATAGCTTTGATTAAAGCTTTGTACTCCGTCTATTTTTCCTCGTCTGCTTTGCTGCTACACAAGTACCATGGAGCTTCTTTCCACCTCCCTTGAAGCTGAACCATCCCTATGTGTGTGGTCTCCTCTTATTAGATTGTAAGCTCCTTGACAGCAGAGACTGTCTTTTCTATTTGTATCCCCAACACTTAATACAGTACTTTAGCTGATACTAAGCATTTAACAAATATTGTTAGTAACTATGACATTTCTTAGTAGTGTCCAAATGCATATAGGAAATTCAATATTCAAGCAATAATTAAAGTGTCACATTAACTTTTTAACACGTTAAACTGTTATACGTATAAAATATTTCAAGACTTCAACAAACTGTGACTTTCTCAGTTTGAGCACTCTCTCCACTAATGCAAGTCATAATTCCTGTGACTTAAGTGGTTTTTTAGAGTTGCTGTGCCCAAAACTATTATCAGTCTTCCTGAATTTAACTAGACTAGTTAGACAACACATATATTTGGCCACCAGGCATCTACCTGAAGCCTTTCCAACTTGTGCTCTGCTGGCATAGTCTTCACGAACCCAGGTTCACCCCTACACCATGAGGCAAGGCATCTCAAGGGCACTTTGGTTGTCCCATATACATTTTTATATGTTTTTATGACAAATGACTAATAAAAAGACTACCTCTAAGGAATTTATTTAAATCAACACTTAGAAACAGAAGGAAAAGATTAGTTTTCTTCACCTTAATTAGAAAATAATTTCATCAAAAGATTTCTATTCCTGGTGCCCAATAGTAACAAGAGCTTTAATAAATGAATTTTACCATTTTTTCCCCCGAAAAGGCAGGCATTTTTGGTTTCAGAGTTCAATGTCAGCAACATTTAGCTAGTACCACCTATGCATAAGATGCTATACTATTTTATATTTACACTTAGACTAATGTATACACTGGACTTGATCCTACAGTTAAGAGAGTACACTTGTTACCTTTTGGAGGTTTAACTCTTTCCAAGTCCCTAGAATACAGATCACAAATGACTGATATTCAGTCTAATAAACAACATACTAAATTCAGAATTGTAAATTCCCTTCTCACTTGTGCCCAAAAAATATTACAAAACGAATAACCTTAAGGAAATCATAGAACTTTTTTGTAAATTTCACATCATCTAACTCAATCTGATCAACAAAGACATTAACAAGATGTGGCCTCGGGCAAGCCAAGCCCCAGTTTACTCATCTGTAAGGACATTTTCGTTACAGTCTTTCAGGTCTCATCCAGCTCTGTCTACATTTATGATTTATACTCCGATGCCCACATTTTACAGATGAGAAAACTATGGTCCAATCACAATTGAGCTTTTAAGAAAAAACAAGTTTTCTATCATATGTTTCCTGCGTAGTTTGAATTTAGAACTACTTTAAAAAGTGAAAGTAAGGGGGTAGCCAGGTGGTGGCAGTGGATAGAACACCAACCCTGGAGTTAATCCAGCCTCAGACACTTGACACTTACTAGCTTTGTGACCCTGGGCAAGTCACTTAACCCCATTGCCTAACCACCCCCCCCCCAAAAGTGAAAGTAAACATTTTTATATTATACTTCAAATTAGAATGCCATAAACCTATAAGCATTTTGATATATAACTGCTGTAAGCAGTTTTAAGAGTTGCAGTTTTAAGAGTTTATAAACTATGTTACCTTTAAAAGACCATCAGCTTTCTGCCAAAATTTAATTTGCTCAACTTACCAGATTACATTACAATGCATTTTTTAATTTTCACACAGCCAGGAGTCTTTTCTTCTTTGGTGATTTTTTTCAATCTGTATTGCCGAATCTCTCTCACCAATGTATAAAAAGCATCCTCCACTCTCTGCATTGTAAAACACAACTCCTTTAAAGGTTTGTTTCATTGCTAAAAATAATTTATTGGGATAACCATGTGGAATAAAAATTGAATAAGTGAGCTTCACTTGTTAAAAAAAAAAATAGGACAACACATCATTCACCAGTTTTTTAAAAGGGAAGGGACAGTTTTCCCATCTAAGCAAGAATACTGGATTATTTTAAGAGCTGCTTAACATTGCTTAGCAAAATCTGTATGGATGGGAGAAGAGTTTATCAAAACCAGTAAACTCAATGTATATGTATGTGTATTTCCCCTTTACTAAGTATTAATGCAAACTTAGGAAAAGTCATTTTTAAACACAAAAATTAAAAAGTATTCTCTATTCTGTGTGAAGTATATTTTATATGATTTGTAGTATAGTAGCAGTCATTATGCCCATTTGGACTTAGAAAAAATAATTCATAATTCTGCCACTGATTTTGGTCTAATTTTGGTGTTCATTTTTATAGTTTTTATTTTTCAAAAAGTACTCCAAACTAAATTAGTGCCTGGGATGGACAGATATAGCACTCAATATTATACATCTACAGTCTAGCCATAGCTAGAAATACTTGAGAATTTAATCAGTTTTAAATAAAACAAGTTATCTTCAATAAAGTCTTAAAAATAAATCTGGAGGATGTAACCCATTCAACAACATATGTATAGCACTTTACAAACCTTAATTCACTTTACAAAAGCTGTTATTCATTTATTCTTATTTTCCATCTATTCTATTGAATGTAGTGATGTCCTAGAATTCAGAGCGTACTGAGAGAAAACACAGTATGTGGCAAGAGGGATTCACAGATGTGCTTTCAAGTTTTTTCTACCAAAAAAAAAAAAAAATTCAGGAAGTGCCAAAAGGAACAGGGTGATAAATTAAGGTGGGTCCATCCCAAGAAGGCAGCCTATACTACTGCAGAAGAAATTTAAATCATACTGGTAAAACTGTAATTAACTTTGTAATTTACCAAATACAAGTTTTACCTTCTGTTTTTCAGAATGAAAGCTTCTAAAACCTTAGAACTTTACTGAAGTTTCTATAAGATTCCAAATATTTTAGTGAGTCTTGTAAATAATAAATCTGATTTATTGTATATTGAGATTAATTACACTTTTCTCTTCAAACAAAACTACACTTTGCCCAAAAAGGTGTTCAGCCTTTCCTTAAATACAACTTAGACTAAAGTCAAATAAAA